AGAGACGCAAAACAGTGCTGTGGCTTTGTTTGGAACCATTTTTGTTGGCGAAATAGACCAAAAAATAGGCAATATGGTGTCTAAAACGTAAGTCTCTTAATATTAAATTCTTGTTTATTGAACTGTTGTATAACATTAATATTACATTTGTAATCATGCTGATTTTTGGAGAAAAAACGGCACTCTTTGTGTGATATTAACTATATGAAATTATATAAATATATAAATTTTCTGCCCCATATCTTGAATTATGTGATAATTCTAAATGCATTTTAATAGACTGATTAATGCAGTGAAAGAACGCTCTATAAATGCGCACGCACACTCACTAGTCTAACTCTAACTGCTAGACTTCATCACGTAATGTATGCGCGCATTCTGTAGGTGTTTTGTTTGCTTTTCGCGATATACTCAATAATATCAAATCGCATATCCTTAAAACAACAATTACGATATTATATCGCAGACCACACATATCGCACACTATAATATTTAGATTTTTATAATGCATTGTCTTCTTATCGATCTACCAGTTCACATTTAAAGCTCTGCGTGTTTGCAGGGTAAAAACATGAGTCGATTTTCGCATTGGTCTGAACTCTGAACAATACAAGTTTTATTGAAAATGCTCATTCATTCTCTGACAGCAGGTGGAGCGTTTGGTACAAATAGAACGGTTTCACCGGTAACAGCAGCACCGGACTTTGAACCTGCAGCGCTCATGTTTATTTCATGAAATCATAGCCTTTTGAAGTCTAATCGTCATATTCAGCCATATCGCAATTCTAGTCTTTCTGTCCCCAAATTTAAGAACTCTTGAAATCATAACTAAGACTTTCTTGTACAATTTAAGAATTTTTAAGGCCTTAAATTTGATACAACTAAATTTAAGGCTTTTTTAAGACCAACAGAAACCCTGTTTTTAAGTCTTTCCCCAGCAGGCTCATTTTCTCCAGAATAGTCCTAAAACAAGAGAAAATGGATACACTTATGAAAAATATAAAGACAGGTTTGCAATCTTAACATTAGAAAATATGACACAGCAGGACATGCATACAAAATACTGAAGTGCTAAAGTTTGGTTAAAATATTTGTAGACATGACAGCACTACAAAAACACAACAAAAAGAAAGACTATTGCCTTATATAGTGGTTGTCTTATTGTTTGTGGGCTTTGTTTTTTTATTTTTTTTTAAAAATGGCTTTTAACACTTGTTTCGCTAGGTATTTGAGTAAATGAAAACACAATAGGCCTACTTACATTTCAATGTGAATTCCCCCACAGAACTGTGATCCTCCATGTTCTTTGAATATAAATTCCATCGTCAACTGCGCATTCTGATACTGGGATATGGTAGGGTGCGAAGTGTCCATCAGATGTACACTTCATTTTCCTGGGAAATGGAGAGTGCATTTGAAGTAGCTTTTGAAATACGTCAGCCTTCGTCGTGCCGCGGTGACGCAATTGGCCTTGGAATGCGGTCTTCGGAGGGTGCATTCTGAATTGGGACAGCCTTCGTCGCGCCGCTGTGACGCAATAGCACTTCAAATGCGCCCTTCGTAGTCCGTGCACTTCACTTTGGGACACAGCTACCGTGTGGATTTAGTGTGCGTTAAGAGCACTGCGCTTCGGCGTTTTTAAGACCTGGGACAGTCTTGTGCACTTACTTTATGTCGCGCGCACGCACGCGCTCTCAAGTGGCCAAGACCGCAAGTGTGGGTATTTGGATAAGGCACACAAGTGTGTATAGAACTTTTCATTACCTGATAGGACACACTTATAGTGTTGTAAAAATGCAAGTGTTTACAGAGCTTTATTTTTATTTTCAATACTTTGCATTTTAAAATCAACTTCTAAATGTCTGTTCAGTGTCTCTACAACAGATGACAATTTAATTTTGTGGTGCTTCTAATTAAGTGATAAAAAGCAGTTGCAAATGTTGTACAAAATAATTATCACCACTACTCATTCATGTATTTGGTCCAAGTGTTCAAGTGAGCATGAAGACCACAAGTGTGTGTAGAACTTTTCATTACCTGATAGGACACACTTATAGTGTTGTAAAAATGCAAGTGTTTACAGAGCTTTATTTTTATTTTCAATACTTTGCATTTTAAAATCAACTTCTAAATGTCTGTTCAGTGTCTTTATAACAGATGACAATTACATTTTCCACTCCGGAGCGGTATTCGAGATAGTGTGGATTTAGTGTGCGTTAAGGGCACTTGCGCTCTGGCGTTTTTAAAGTCGGCATGAAACAGAAGTTGCGATTGTATTTTCTTCTCTACTGTGACGTATATCCGAGTGAAACGGCATCTGAAATGTAGCGAATCGATGCGTTTTTGTAAGAAAAATATCCATATTCAAAACATAATAATCACTTTAATGTAGCTTGCACCAACAGTTGTACACGGAAGCAGTTCCGGACGGATGACGTATGAGTTCAGCTTTGCGCATGCTGAGTCTCTTGGCTTATATCGAAATCCTCCGACATTCTTCTTTACAAATCCTCATTTTGTACTTCTAATTAGTGACCGGTGTTTTGATCTCTCCCCTGCGCTTCCGCGTGCATCACTTCTGAGCGGTGCAAGCGCAAAGCTGACCTCATACGTCATCCGCCCGGAGCTGCTTCCGTGTACAACAGTGAGCGCAAGCTACAACGGCGAGTTATCCGTCACGGTGTGCAGCCCGCCTCATTCGTCTGAAAGAAGAAAGTCATATACACCTAGGATGACTTGAGGGTGAGTAATTTATGGGCTAATTTTTCATTTTTGGGTGAACTAACCCTTTAAAGGGACTCCGGTAATACAGACCCTCTCATCTCCCTATATAGTAAGACAATCTCTGGGAGCGACGGCAGGTTGAGGGAAAATAGCACAGTAAAAGTACTAAAAATGTATTCAAGTAAAAGTAAAAGTGTTTTTAAACTACTTAATAAAGTACAATTCCTGAGAAAAACTACTTACAGTAACGAGAGTATTTGTAATTCGTTACTTTACACCACTGGAAGTATGTAAGGTACGCAATATCTAAAAAGTTTTTTTTTTTTTTTTTACGAAAAAACAAATCTCGAACCATGACAAGCGCGTTCTTTCTCTTGTCCCTGCACACATGCATTTATTATGATCTTCAGTGGCGCGTGGCTTGACCGTGTATTTTGAGAAAGTTCCACAGAATTTAATCACTAATCTATAATAGAGATTATAGATATTATATTGCAGATTATAATGTATTGTGTGTTTAAACGTAGGATTTTTATAGGTAAAAGGATATTAGACATTCGGAAATTTACTCAAGCAGGTATAAAACTGTAGGCCTATAACTTCTTTAATGGGCAAAAAATAGGGGGAAAAAAATTCTGTAATTTTCTATAACATCAGTCAAACATTCAGCGGCTAAACAAGGCAATAACAAGTGAACAGTTAAAAAAAGTAAGACAAATAAACTATATCAATCTTACAGTTTTACATTAATAGGATAAGGAACCGACTTCCTACCTAAAGTGATATTACACAAAATGGCAAAATATATTAGTGTGATAATAATACAAAATAAACGTTTTTAAAAACAGTAAGTTTATTTTTGTATTCAGTATATTAAGACACATGTACGATGGGGTGCATGACAAGTACGGCATTGTAACCCGGAGGTACTATAGATTTGACGGAACATTTTCTGGACGGAACAGTAATGAAACGCACCGCAAACATTTCCTTAAAACACAGCTGGACAATTCTTTACATTTAACGAACCAAAACGTTCCACTTTTTCATGTAGTTTTGACATATGGCTTCAACCATGATTCCATACACGGTCAATATTAAACTGGCTGCACGAACATTGACCGGAACCCTTAATTTACAGAACAAGACAGCAGTAGACTGGTGAGTACGTTAGCTTTAGCTTCTGCAGACTGTCAACAAACCCACAGAGTTTGCAGTTTACAACAACGCGTTGCTTGCGTAGGCATGCGGTACATTTTCATTTTTAAATAGAAATCGAAATTTAGCGTAATCGAGCTGTCACGTTAATCTTCTTTTGATTGCGTGATGTTGCATTATATATTGAGTATTCAGTGTATTCACATTCATCACGTCAATGGCAATAATAAAAATGGTTGTTAATATTAAGATTACGCGCATTACATGACAACACTCGTGTGTCGTTACCATTAAAAAAAATGTATGTACATTCTTGCTGAACAAATTAGTGTGTATCCTGTGTCAACACAACCAAATGTCCCCGGCTGATAGTTTTTTTTTCTTTTAAAGAGAAATGTATGAAGAACAAAAAATGTTGAAACTAGAAATGTATCTGGTTTCCCTGTATCAAAACAACTGCATAGAACAGATCTGTCTGTGTGCCATAAATATTCTTTTTCCAACGTTTGTGTGCCTGTAACTCAAGAAATATTAAAGATATGTCAATATCATTTTAAATTCTGATTCTTAACTCTTTCCCTGCCAGCGTTTTTGAAAAAAGTTGCCAGCTACCACCAGCATTTCTGATCTTTTTTTTTTCCTAAAATTTTATGGCCCACATAATATTTTGTTGTATGAATATCTGGACATGCAATTCATCAAAATAAAGAACAGAACCTCTACTTAAAAAAAAACCCCCCAATTTTATTCTAGCTTCAAGCATTTTTTTTATCAACACTTTAACGCAGGTGTGTTTCATAAAAAAAGCAACATTTTGAGCAAAAAGCTGAGAAAATCGGGTTTTTATCAAATTTTACATATGGATCAAATTCATTAAGATTATCAAAGCAAATATGCAGTAGATCGGTTCCATTAGCACCCCCAAAGCTTGCACAGTCCTTTAGCACTCCCTCGATTGACATTTGACTCGGTAACATTAGGCAGTTTTTATTTATATAGTGTTTATTGTTGATGATTGCATTATTTTTCATATGCATCTGCTTACATATGAGCTCGCTCATTTCTGAGATTCTGGACTCATCCAGGAGGTGCATAATAGCGCCAAGTGTATAACAGTGAAAACACAGGAACCTGGAAAATTCTGTGTTTGACGGGGAATGAGTTAATAAACTTTTCTTTTGTAATTTTAATTTTTAAGGTCCCATTTGTTTCATTTCCAGAGATATGGGGAGCCCAATGCAACTCAATGTCCAATTTGTTGAATTTGTGTACAATTTAAACTTTTACCCCCGGAACCATGTTGAGAGCCCTTTATCTCTGGAAATGAACCATATAGAGCCTTAAAAATGAAGATACCAAAATAAAAGTTTGTTAAAATCCAAAATCTAAAAGGGCATTGAGATATCTTTAAAACTTCTTGAGTTACAGACATGCAAACTTTAACTTTAGAGAAAAAAAAAAGAAATAAAAAATGTGCTTTTTTTCCATTTTTGAATCATCAAAATAAAGAACAGAACCTCTACTTAAAAAAAAAAAACCCCAATTTTATTCTAGCTTCAAGCATTTTTTTTATCAACACTTTAACGCAGGTGTGTTTCATAAAAAAAGCAACATTTTGAGCAAAAAGCTGAGAAAATCGGGTTTTTATCAAATTTTACATATGGATCACATTCATTAAGATTATCAAAGCAAATATGCAGTAGATCGGTTCCATTAGCACCCCCAAAGCTTGCACAGTCCTTTAGCACTCCCTCGATTGACATTTGACTCGGTAACATTAGGCAGTTTTTATTTATATAGTGTTTATTGTTGATGATTGCATTATTTTTCATATGCATCTGCTTACATATGAGCTCGCTCATTTCTGAGATTCTGGACTCATCCAGGAGGTGCATAATAGCGCCAAGTGTATAACAGTGAAAACACAGGAACCTGGAAAATTCTGTGTTTGACGGGGAATGAGTTAATAAACTTTTCTTTTGTAATTTTAATTTTTAAGGTCCCATTTGTTTCATTTCCAGAGATATGGGGAGCCCAATGCAACTCAATGTCCAATTTGTTGAATTTGTGTACAATTTAAACTTTTACCCCCGGAACCATGTTGAGAGCCCTTTATCTCTGGAAATGAACCATATAGAGCCTTAAAAATGAAGATACCAAAATAAAAGTTTGTTAAAATCCAAAATCTAAAAGGGCATTGAGATATCTTTAAAACTTCTTGAGTTACAGACATGCAAACTTTAACTTTAGAGAAAAAAAAAAGAAATAAAAAATGTGCTTTTTTTCCATTTTTGAACAGTCAACATTGGCATATAATACAACAAAGATAAACATATTAATTAATAAATTAATAAAAAACATAAATTCAACAGATTTGAATAAATTTACCAATCTCTGTGTGAAAATACAAATTACAAATCTCTGAGTGAAAATAACATAATGATGCTGCCATCTTTCTGAAGTCATTTTTACCCCCCTGTAATTTGGCTCTGAATCTCAGGTGAAATTTGTCAAGTGAAATTTACTCATTGCTTTCATTGCTATACTTGTTGAAATTTGGTTGATTTGACACGTAATTACCCTATTATACTGTTTAGAAAAAAAGATGTAAAGTTAGGGGTGTGCAATATGACGATTTTTGATGGTGGACAATTAAAATTTCCCAGAGAGAGAGAAAGTAATAGGCCTTTATTTTATAAAATGTTTTATAAATGTGTTTATATACATTATAATTTCTCAACTTGTTAGGTTCTCTCTGATACTGTTTTCCTTTTCCTCTGATACTGTTTCCTCTCTTCCTGCTTAGGGGATGGCAGGGACTGATCGCTCAAGGCTGTCACTCTAGTATCCTCATCATTGATCCAAAAACGGCTCAGACCATTCAGGTCCTGGAGAGACACAAAGCCAGTGTAGTCAAGGTGAGGTTTAAATGTTTGTTCACACACTGTCGCACAGCATTGTTCATTTGACCAAAACAGAAAGTTGAACAGTAAACTTATGCTTTCCTTGGTTAATTTGCTATAATACCAAAGGAACATTTACCATCAGAGAAGTACGGTAGCCGAGAAGTGCAAAACAAATCACAATTCTGAAAACAAAATAACAAATTACAAACGCAAATACAAATCTAAAAAAACAAAATAACAAATCAGAAAACACAACAATTCCGCAAACATTAAAACAAGTCAGAAAACACAATGACAAATCCGAAAACAAAATAACAAGTCAGAAAACACAATGACAAATCAGACAAACCGGAAGAGGTAGGTATAGTTTGAGACCGCGCCATTGGTGTGAGAATAGATTACTCACTGCTGACTGGACGAGACATCTGTCAATCAAGGTGTACAGGAAGAACAGCAGAGTAGTGGTAGAAAGTTTGGAGATGGTCTTAAAGTAACACAGTTTAAATGTATTGTATGAATTGCCCTTACTATGGAATAAAAAATATGCATGTAAGTTTACAACACTGTACTTATATTACCTTTGAATCAGATTATAAAAAACTAGTTAACGCTAATGGGAGAGTGTTTCTAATACAGTGTCTATGGGAGTGACGGTAAATTTGACATGGTGCTCTCTTCTGACTGCCATTCAGTCTCTCTCTCTTTTTATATATATATATACACAGTATCTCACAGAAGTGAGTACACCCCTCACATTTTTGTAAATATTTTATTATATCTTTTCATGTGACAACAGTCATTAAAACACTATCGTGGCAATTTTCTTTTGCTATTTAATGCAAAAAAACCACAAAAAAAAACAGGCAGAGGTGTGCTAAATTGGGATTTTTGTGGGGCAGAGAGAATTTAAAGGGGAGAATATAAATACAATTTGCTGCTGATATGAACGCAATCGTACCAAATCACGGAAGTGAACCGCTATTAATGATGTATTATTTAATTTTAAAAATGTGTGTTTGTGTGTGTGTTTCACTCACTTTCATGACGAGCATGACTGACGCGCTGCAAGCGGAGAGCTGTATATCTTATTTCATTGTCGTTGTGTTTTCTGATTTGTTATTTTGTTTTCAGAATTGTGATTTGTTTTGCACTTCTCGGACACCGTAGAGAAGTTCCTGTTATAGTAACAAATATCATGGCAAACAGGGCTCACTATTCCCATAAAGCAGTGGTTCTCAAACTTTTTACAGTCGCGTACCCCCCCACCCCACCAGCCATTTAACGTCCTTCATACATGTTAAAATTGACAATGCAACCCTCCTCTCCTTCTAAACTTTTAAGCTTACCTATTTGCCGCCTTACCTTAAATATTTTATTCCTCTCTTTTAATCCGTAACAGAGCGCACGTCCCGATATGGCACTACCATTTTTTTTTGTACACTGGAAGGGGCACGCACTTATATATTTTGCCTGTAAGAAACACATGCTCAGTTGAATTATATTTAAGAGTGCGATATAATTAAATTAACAGGACATTTCAGTATTTTGTTCATGTATCCCCCCGTCACTTCCTACTACCCCCAGGTATACGTGTACCCCAGATTGAGAACCACTGCCATAAAGCATTGCAAGTGTCATCAAGTTGGTTTTAGTGCTGTCACTAACAATTATTTTGGTTATCGAGTAATCGGTCGATCATTCTGATGATTAATCAAGTAATTGGATAATTTTTTGTTAACTTTAAAACACTTTAAAATGGCTTAAAATACATAAATAATAGCAAAGAGGCAATGATAATTGGTTCAAATATCAAAAGTAAGTAATCATATGGTTTTATTGAACAAAACAGTTAAAATACATAATGTAATGCAACAATCTTAACATATGTACGTTATGTATTATATCAAATCCCTGCAGAGGGCACAAATGGCCTGACGATCGACTAAAACAGATTGACTAATCGATTGACTAAACATTTAATTCAAATGTCCACTTAATCTTTAATATTTGGCCACTTTTTTATGATAGAAATGCTACTACAGCCACTGTGATATTTCGAACAAGAACATGTGGACATCAAAACATGCAAACTAAGAGCGAGGGTTTATACTTTTATTCTGTCATGATAAACAGACATCATATTTAGAAAGATAATGATGTATTATCCTGTGTTGGTGTAGGTTTATAAATGATTTAATTTATAAATCTGATAGAATGGTGCACATTGTTCCCAGCTGAATATTATAGGCAACTCAGACTCACAGTATATGCAAAGATGGAGTTTGAGACAGTCCGCTCATGTAAATTATAACTGTTTGTGTGGAGCAGCATTTACTGTGAACGGAGCCACTCCACGGAGATGCACATAACCTATAAATAAACTACATATTAAACCTGCAGCGCATATATTTATTTAATTGGATCGCAGCATTTGCGAATTCACAATAACACTATGTCTATGGTATGATTTGGTTTAGTATGATTTTAATATTTTGTGAAATGGTTTTAATATTTTGTGCAGCCTTAGAGAAATGGTGTAATAATGCTTTTCATGGATTCTCGTCCGTGGAAAGTGCCACTTATGGGTAGAGGTTGACCGATATGGGTTTTTCTCTGGCTGATGCGGATATTTAGAAATCAGAGCAGCTGATGACCGATATATGATGCAGATATGTTTGGCCAATTTTTTTCCCCCTTCATCTCATAAAAGAGAGTTTGAGTAAATGTTTATTGCAGGGTACAAGAAAGTAATAGTAGTAGTTGTAGTAGTACATATTAAACCTGCGGCGCATATATTTATTTAATTGGATCGCAGCATTTGCGAATTCACAATAACACTGTCTATGGTATGATTTGGTTTAGTATGATTTTAATATTTTGTGAAATGGTTTTAATATTTTGTGCAGCCTTAGAGAAATGGTGTAATAATGCTTTTCATGGATTCTCGTCCGTGGAAAGTGCCACTTATGGGTAGAGGTTGACCGATATGGGTTTTTCTCTGGCTGATGCGGATATTTAGAAATCAGAGCAGCTGATGACCGATATATGATGCAGATATGTTTGGCCAATTTTTTTCCCCCTTCATCTCATAAAAGAGAGTTTGAGTAAATGTTTATTGCAGGGTACAAGAAAGTAATAGTAGTAGTTGTAGTAGCCTAATTCATAGCAATAATACATGGCTCAAAACTTAAGCACCTTCTCATAACAGTTCTGAAGCATGCTTTTTGTTTATGTTTGCTGACAGACACCAGTGTTTCCCACAGACTTGCAAATGCAAATTCATTCTCTGACAGCAGGTGGCACTGTTGGAGCGGGAGATATAGCGGTTTCCCCGGTAACGGTTGTAATCAAATAAGCGCTGCGCAAATAAGCGCAACGCTACTTTATCAGTCATTACTAGAAAGAAGAAATGAAAATGACATCAAAGCTTTTCTGAAGACAGTCGGTTCTTTTCAAAGATACATTCATATAAAAACACCTGCGCTGCATTTTAATTTTGAAACGTGCCATGCTCAGTTTATTCAACGAATTATAGCCTAAGCCTTTTGGAAAATCCATTTGCAGCGGTCGCTTTTTATATATTGTGACAAGTCGCCACAAATAACTCAATGTATAGGAAACACTAGACGCTGCTATAAGTCAAATGGCAAAATCTAAGTGATAACAAAAATAAAAGAGTTCTCATAACTACTTAAGAGTGCACTGGCCACGAGCGATGAGATCGTGGAGGCTATTGTCGGACCTACAGACATATTTAATGCGGAAAGTTAACGTGCACATTTTAATCAGCCCAGATGTTTCGTCTGAATTGTTTCTACTTTCACATGCAAATGACTTGTTGCACTCATGAATATGATAACTTTCCAGCATCAATTCTAGTAGGGTAAAATGTAATTATGCTTTCAAAATTATCTGTTTTGCCCTACCATCATTAGTCGAAGCTGTGCAAACAAGGCGCAGCTGCAGAGTCTGAGTTGCTCCGTCTCACGCAGCCTCAGAGGGAGAGAGGTTCTCCTGCATTCCACAACGACGCTTAGCTGCCCGCAAGTGCGCCTGCCTAGAAATCAGCCTAATTTGCAGCACAATCGGCAGACGCCGATTAATTTTAAAAATGCCAAAAATCGGCCCGATTAATCGGCCGGCCGATCAAATCGTCGACCTCTACTTACGGGATTTTGCTGGATAGTTGACAAATGTTAACATCATAAATTGACACTACAAATAATCTGTCAGTTTGACTGAATGAGCTGTACATTTTCCTTCATAGAATAATGTAATGCTTGGTATTTTAATGTGACAAGGTATAAAAAGAATATCTATAGCAAGAGCTCTGCATTCTTCTCCTCCTGATTATTTTCTTCTTTGTCCTTTGTATTACTATTCTGTCCTAGATGCGTGTTCCATCTACGCAACACTCTATCACCGAAGAGTAATAGTTTTAAACTCTTAGCTTATGAATTTCACATTTATACGTGCATATACATTCTTTCAAACACTGAAGAAAAGTAATAGACTTACAGGCAAAGCCTTTCCAAGGCACAAAACGCAAAGGAAATAGAGTAAAGAACTTCTTGGACAACTGCATGGAGAAAATCTGGAACACTGCGATTATTTTCTGGTTAACCTCTAACCCAAGAGTCACATGGTCTAAATCAACCACTAAGAAAATAGCTAACAAT